ATCTCAGAATCATAAGAAACATGGAAGAACAGAGGAGCTCATGGTCATTGTATTTCAAGGGTGCAGGGGACTTGAAAGCTGCGCTGCCCTTGGAGGGTGAGGGTGTGGCTCTGTTTCCACTCCAGCCCCAAACTCACTCTCATGTGTACCTGATTTTGCTGTCATGGCCTTGTGAGACGCTGAAGTGTCAGGGTCTCCTGGCCCAAAGCACACTGTCACCCCCTTGTGCCCGTTCTGCTTGCAGCCAGATTCTCTGCAGATTCCCGGTGTTTCTGCATTCAGGGTGAACTCAGGGATCTCTGGAGCCTTCCACATGGACCACTTCCGGGTTGCTCTGTGCTCTTCCTGTGGTGCAGGGCAGCTTCTCTTCTGACACAGGAGCCAGCGTTCTGAGCTCCCTCCCAGTTGTCTAGGCGGCAGTGAGTCTGGAAGTTCACTTTGCTCCTGGCTTTGGAACCCAGGGCTGGAGAATGTGATCATGAGGTAGGGACAGGACTCATTACATGTCAGATCACCTGAATGCATGCTAGGGAAGAGCAGTTTCCTGAAAGACTCCCTCCTTCTCTCTGGAGGAGAGCCTGGGAGGACAGGGGTCTCTGGTTTCTTCTCTCCAACAGCTTTCCATAGGCACTTCTCATACACAATTTCTGGAATGTTGACTATTCTATGTCTTCATGTAGACTTTGTTTGATCATGCCTAATTGGTGTTGTGCATACCTCACGTTTTTGTACGTGAAATTCTTTTGCCATGCATGAGGTAGTTTCTCTCATGACTTTTGTGAACTGGTTTATTTATTGATTTATTCTTTTTGGTCTTGTGTGGTGTCTCCATTTTATTGATTCTGATCCATGTTACATTATTCTTCTTCGCATCCTCTAGCAGCTTTTGGATTGTGTTTTGATCGTCCCTTGATATTTGCAAAAAATCTTTCTTTCCATGAATGCTACCCCCAACCTTGTCTTGTGTATCTGAGATCCTGTCCTCACATTGTTGGACTCTGCTGCAGATAGTTTGAATGGAAGTTTTATTGTCCTGAATGTGTGCTTGAGTCTACCTTATGGATTCTGAGCATTCATGGCTTCCATCATTTTCTTAAGCTCCTGTATTTTGTTGTCTGTATGTATGCTACAGTCTCTAAGCATGATTTTCACTGTGGACACCATTGCTGCAGTGATCTGAGACATTATGTCTGATTTGAATTTTTCTAGAGCCTCAGGCAAGTATTTTGACTTTGACTCTCTCACGTTTATCGCTTGAGAGAGGCCAGATGGGTGTTTTCAGATTGTCCCACCTCTTTGCCCCCTGGTTTGCCTTTGGTGAATGGGATGTCTAGGGTTTTATCTTGTTGAAATGTCTTTTTTTTTTCCTCTCCTTTGTAGTTGAATTCTTGAGGTGATGCTTTGAAGTTGCCTATGTTGGGTCGCTTTATTGCCAGTATGTCAAACCCCGAGGACATGAGTACCTCTCCAAGGTATCTTGGAGGTAAACCTGATTTTTGGGTTTTGAGTCTGTTGAAAGATCATACCTCTTCAGTGTGTTGGGGAGGAGCAGCTGCTGTCTGTTGGTCCCAGCCCCTGGTTCTTTGGCACTGTGCCACAGTATCTTCTGTGACCCTCTTGACGATCTCAGTCTTGGAATCCAGGAAGAATAGCTGTTTAAAACAGTTGTGTCACTTTTGTCTGAAGGGATATCATCAGCACTAATAGAAGGACCATCACAGCCTAGAAAATGACAAACTGAGGAAACCATTAATTGGCCTCCTTCAACCATATGAACTAGAGTTGTGGTTATGGAACAAAATGGCAAACAGACCAGAAAATACTGCGCAGTCCAGAAATCCTTCATAAGTGCATTTGTCCCTCTGGGGTGAAAAGTTGTGGTAGGGGAAAAGTAGAGGATTAGAAGAAGAGGAATAGATTAGAAGTAAGGCTTGAGGACAAAGGGGGATCATGCTGACTTTGGGGAAGTGGTGTAGACCACTGGAGGAAAAGAGAGAAGAGAGAGGTAAAGAGAAGAACAGAATGGAAGAGAATAAGAAGCACAAAGAGGCTAAAGAGCGTGTTCACACTCATATAAGAACAAGGTGAAACAATGAAGGAGAAAACAAGAACAAAACAACCACAAAACCACTAGCACCCCTACCAGCAGCAGCAGCAACAACAACACAACAAAAGACAGAGTGAAAAACAAAGTGCATTTCCAGGCTTGTCTCTGCTGTCACTGGTAGACAGTATGTGGAGACAAAATATCGGTGCATGTCCATTTATCCCCACAAGCCAGTAGTACCTTTTTGGCAAAGTAGTGAATACGCTCAGTGAGCCTGCACCTTCTGTCTAAGACCAGGCTCATTTGTCCTGCAGCCATCAGCATGAGCGCGCCTTCTGCAGGCCTGAGCATGGCTAGGGAGCTGCTAGATGGAACCATCAGCTTCTCTGAGTCATGAGCTCAGCCAGTCCGTCTCTGACACAGTCCTTCACGTCCAGCCCTCCCCTCCTCTGCTGGGTCTCTCAGTCAAGGCTCCTGAGATCACCAGTGTGTCTGCAAGTTTGAATCACTTCTCTACCCCAGTGAGTCCCCTCTCAGAAGGAGCCCTGGCTACCTTCTTCTTTCTTGAAATTTCCCTGCTCCGTCTGTTCATGAGCTTCAGTTCATGCTTCAGATCCTTCCCGGGACCAGTGAAGGACCTTCACTCCTTTTTGTCTTCCTCACATTGCTATATTCCAGCATGTGGATGGCAATAGAGAGGCTCTTTCTCTGCTGCTTTCCAGTGTGCCATCCTGGTGCCTGTTGCACTCTTGATTTGGAAAGAGGACTTCTAAAGTGGTAGTGGTTGAAGGGCAGAGAAAGTGTGGTACAACTGTGATTCATTTCACTTCCTGAACACTTCTGATACGAAATATTTCCTCACACTAAGAACCAATTCTCCAATTCTCTGGACACAATACACTTCTTATACTACAAATATTGACTTATCATCAGGTCCCTCAAAATGACAGGCTCAGATCCCTATGTCTGTCCCTACTTCAGAAGCCAACTGCAAGTCCACAAGTAGGGAATGTTTGAGAAATGGCTAACAATTCAAGGTATCATGTGCAGTGGCTCTGGGGTCATTGCCCTGCCTTTGAATTTTCCTGAAATTGTCTCTTTCTCTGTCCCTGTCCCTGTCCCTGTCCCTGTCCCTGTCTCTGTCTCTCTGTCTCTGCCTGTGCATCTCTCTCTCTAATGTACAGAGAGAAAGAGGAATGAGAAGATGTTGCAAAGTGAAAGCAAGTTTATTTTGCAGAAGCAGTATAAAGCACTCCTGCGATTGGGGGCCCAAGAGCTGGAGAAACAATGACTATGGACATTGGTTCTGTTTTCTGGGTACCCTCTTTACTGGGACCCCTCCTTCTGAGGCTGAGGCACGTGCATGTGTGGAGCTTAGGCAGAAGTGCACAACGGCCGTAGAGGGACAGCCTGGTGAGGGAAGGGAGGCGAATTCCTGGGTCATACAGTGTTGAGATGGGAGGGTGCGGCTCCTCCTCACTTTCTTCTGCCCTTAGACAGCAGCACACGTGGTGGGGGGACACTGATTTGGATTGTTTTCTGTGATAAGCAGCACAGGACACCATTGTGCCTGTATGCTTTGGAATCTGTCCTCTGTTTCTAATGTTTACCTGACATGTCTTTAAAAGTTTCCCCTCCTTGCTCAGGTTTTCTGGTACTGAAACCGTGTATCATTCATCTCAGGATCATAAGAGACGTGGGAGAACAGAGGAGCTCATGGTCATTGTATTTCAGCTGTGCCTCCCTTGGAGCTTGAGGGTGTGGCTCTGTTTTCAGCGCACCCCCAAACTCACTCTTGTGTGTACCTGACTTTGCTGTCACGGCCTTGTGAGCCGCTGAAGTGTCAGGGTCTCCTGGCCCAAAGCGCACTGTCACCCTGTCGTGCCCGTCCTGCTTGCAGCCAGGTGCTCTGCAGATTCCCTGTGTCTTTGCATCCAGGGTGTTCTCAGGGATATCTGCAGTGTCCCACATGGACCACTGCCGGGATGCTCTGTGCTTTTCCTGTGGCGCAGGGCGGCTTTTCTCCTGACACAGGAGCCAGCATTCTGAGCTCCCTCCCAGTTGTCTAGGCGGCAGTGGGTCTGCAAGTTCACTTTCCTCCTGGCTTTGGAATGAATGCAGGGCAAGGAATGTGATCATGCGGGCAGGACAGGACTCCCTGCATGTCACAGATCAGCTGAGCGCATGCTAGTGAAGAGGGGTTTCCTGAGACACTCCCTCTTTCTCTGTGGAGGAGAGCCTGGCATGACAGGAGGCACCGAGTGGCATCACCTCATGGAGGGCATCTAGAAGCCAGATGTCCCTGTGAGCTCAGGTTGTTTCCATGGGGACCTCATAGCTCCGAGTTGTGGCAGTCACTTCCTATCCCTGCACACACCTGTCCCCGAAGCTCCCTTTCCTTTTGTGAACTAATACCTTTTCAAATCTTCATTTTTCATGTCCTTCTCACTCCTTGTAGTTATCACATGTCCCCAGTTTTTATAGGGCGCAGGTTCCACCGTGGTATGAAATGTGACACAATTTTGGTAATTTTTTCCATGTGTGTCTAGGTGCATACTTCCAAATTTCAGTCACATCCTATCTAAGCTAGCGATGACTCAGACATAAACCCTACAGAAAATAGAAAGAGATGGCCTTTACCTTAGGGTGATCAAAGCCATCTATGATACACAAACATCTAACGTCATACTAAATGGTTAACAATTGTACTACAGATGAACTATGTTCTGTTGTTAGTAATGTACTGTGAACTTGCCACTTTGATCTATTCTAGTTTCATCTATGATGTAGTTGTTGGTTGTATTATCAGTTGAAACCCTTCTGCAAATGTTCCACAGGGATACATATTGCAAACGTCCTAGGTGTGAGTGCATGTGAGTAAGCCTGTGATAAAAACGAGGAAGAATGTGTTACTTTTCCGTTTCTTGAATGTCAACCAAGAAGGACAGGGACAGTGAAGCAATGAAGGTGCAGTAACAAAAAGGGATTCGTTTGGCCATGCAGATGTTCTTAACCTGATTCTGTTTAGCAGTGCAGTGTGGAAAATGGGCATAGGCTGTTATCTGAAGGAATGCTTAGGCTCATTTTTTCTTAGACTGAGGTTTTCTAGGTTAGCCAGGTTTTTGGAAAGTCCAAGACATCCCTGCATAAAAGACCCTGTGTAGTGGTGAAAATTCCCGCCTGTCATGTTTCTTGCAAGACTCACAGTGTAGTTTTGTCCCCTTAACCTCTGTGATTCTCCTGATCGTGAAGGACTACAAAGCTGGCGGCCTCAGACAGGGTCCTGCCGGCTCTTCCCGCAGGGGGCGCAGCAGCTTGGAGCTGGGGACCTTTGCCAGAGACCTGAAAAGCACCTGGAGGAAAGCTCAGTGGGCCAGAGCAGAAGGGTATTTGAATTCCTCCCCTTCCCTTCGTGTTTGGTAGGTAAACTTTCCCCATGCCCTGTTGACAGAGTGGACGTTGTGATGGAGCCCAGCATCGTGAAGTCAGCCTGGAGGCTCTTGGAAGTGTGCTTGTGTGCAGGGAAGCAGAAGGGGAGTTCCCAGTTCCCGGTGGGCCTTGTCACTCTAACACAGTCAAAGGTCCACTCGGTTCCCTTTCAGTAACAGCCATTTGAAACAAACGTAGGCTCCTGAGGTTATCTTTATTGATGAACTAGTATTGCTAAGAAAGAGGAGAGGTGCAGAAAGTGAGGGAGAGGGTAGGGTGACTGGTGGAGGGAGAGCAAAGGTGGGGCCAGGCTTCCTGTTGGGTGTGGGGCTGTGTGATGGGTAGCAGGCTCCTGGATAGTTGGAGTGGATCCCAAAGGGCCCGTGCATTCGGCGAGCGGGGATTAGGAAAGCCCAGCTCTAGGTGAAAGAGCCTGAGGACTAGGCCACGGGGGGATGGCCCTGGCTGATTGGGAATGCTGGCTGGGGTGAGACCTTGGGTGAGATACCCTAGTTGCGGATGGTATGGAGACCCTTTGTCCCTGTTTTGTGGAGGAGGCAGAAGAGGAGGAGGGGATCTCCCAGGATGTGGCCTGTAGGAAGCGTGAGAAAGAACATGGCTCCAGCTGTAGGAAGGGGTGGAGCCATCAAGCCTTGTCTTGAGGGTGGGCTTAGGGGCGGTGAGTTGCAGGAGACCCTTGTGAAAACCTCTGAATGAACTTCTGTGTCCTGAAGTTTTAAGTAATAATGCATATATTTGTCTAATTTGAAAATATCATCACATAGCTCAAAATGTAGTTAACTTATGTTTGTCAGAAATAGCATCTCCGTTTCATATATTCTTATAAACGCTGATACAAGCAGACCCAGACCCCCAAATTAGGAATAAAGTGTCTTAAACTTTTTCTTTCATGTGCCAAAGAACCCACACATGTGCAGCCTGTTAGGTGATCATTTTGTTTCACTCCAGTTCTTTACTTTTGCCCTTCTGAGGCTGAGGCTCCATACCTGAAGACACTCTCCAGGGGAAATATTTACAATAACTAACACTCTACCTTTGTATTAGGAAAACAATGCCCTTATCTACATAGCACCTAGCCTCAAAAACCAGTTTCACAGAACACAGCCTTCCAAGTTCATGAATAAATCATAGGATGCAAGAGCATGTTTCAAAACAACTTCCAGTAGCTACAGAGTATGGAATTAACCAAAAGGACCTGACCAGTACACAGTGAAAAAGGTACAGTTCTGGTTCCCCTTCTCTGTAGTGGATCAGCTGCTGCCACCTTGTGGTCCCAGAAGATAATGATGCAGTTATATAGTCAAGATACACACATGTAATTGTATATTGATGGGCCCTTACAATATTCTTGTTATCCTATGTGCTTTTAAAAATTTCATTAAATGTACACAAAAATGACAAATGTTCAAGGGCTTGTTGTGAAGAGTTCCATTTCATATCTTTAAAACTGAAGGGCAAAAGAAATCTCTGAACATTGGTCACCATGCCAGTCCTTGAATGCATGCATGTTGGTGACTGAGGTTGTTCAGAGTATCTGCATTTCTCTTTCCCAGTCTGAGGAGGACATGGGATGGCAGAGAGCAGGAACGAGGACATTCCCTCCTCCACACCCACCATGAAATAGTTGATGATGTTGATGTAAAAATAATACTTTGGAGAAATACACAAATCTCCCTGTATCCGCTAAAAGTCATTGTTAGTGTATTCTAGCAGTGACCTCTCAGGATGAAAAAGCTACCTCTCAGTTTTCTGGAAGAGGAGGCAAGAAGTGTCTGAGTCCACCAAGTATGAGAATACCTGCCCAGGATTTATTAGCAAGCGTATTTATCAAATATATATGTGGAAAAATAATATATCATTTCACCTTTTATACTGTTTTGTGAGTGTTCTTCAAAATGAATCTTACATGATCATGAGTATGCTGTTGATTATTTACATTTTGTTAGACTGAGATAATTCACCAAGCATGTGACGAGACCTTGGCTCAAGAGAGTTCACTGGCACAGATACCATTTTTTTACTTGGCATTGCACATTCGCAAGCCCTGGAGAACCTTAAGCTGTGAAAAGTGCAGGAGACAGAAGTTCCCAGGCTGGATCTTGGGAACAGGAGAGCAGCATGAGTGCTGCTCCCCTGTTTCTAGCTGTCTTACCAGAGCCAGCGCCAGCACCTTTCCCATGGGTGCTGCAACGAGCGTGCTGTGGGAAGTGCCATGGGACTCTGGGCCTGTCACCCCGATCTCACAAACTCTGTGTAGGCAGCAGCGTGACTCCTCTCATGTTTTATTTAAATTTTCACTGTAGAGCACACTATGTTAGAAAAGGCGCCGAACAGGAAAAGAGCAGAAATCAAAATGATGACACGCTTTTCAAGATTCATTTTTTAAATCCCCAGTTGGGCAGTGTATGTAATTTTAAAGAGAAAAAGCAAAGTAGCAGCAATATAGGCAAAAACAAAATAAAGCAAAAACAATATAAATGATACAGGGTTTCCAAACAAAATGATAGGAATTAACAGTGGTTGTTATAGTACATATTGCTATGTTCAACGAAGTTGCTCAGATTAGCAGATGTAAGGATGCAAGACTGATCAAACCATTCAAGAGAATAAAAAATAATTAAAAAAAAACATTAGGAAGTCTACAGAGTTTAGGCAATGTATGTAAATATGTAAATAGTATTTCACGAAGTGTACAAATATATAGCTTTGTGTTCTAATAACCTACATTAATCTTGCTAAATCACAAGCAAAATATTATATAAACCAGCAACCTTGTGAGACAGTTATCTACTACTTAATTTGCCTTCATAAAGGCTGATTGCTTCTGAATACTAATCACTGATATGTATGTGCAGTATTTCAAACTTTTGAGTTTGGCTTTTATTTCATAGCCAGATTTTTTCAAAAGCCAGACTAAATCCAAGGCTTTTGCACTGAGCTACATCTCAAGATGTTATTACTTTTTTATTTTGAGACAAGGTCCCACTAAGCTGCTAAATTATCCAGGCTGGGCTAGAATTTGTGATCCTCTTTCCTCAGCCTCTCAGAGTGCTGGGATTAGAGGCATGCACCATCACCCTTAACCAGTGAAAATTTTTGTACAAAAGAACAAATAATTAGATAGATACATAGATAGATAGATGATAGATACAGATAGATAGATAGATAGATAGATAGATAAATAGGTAGGTAAAGGCCTTCAGAAAATTGAGTAAAATCCTAAACACAATTTGTAAACAATGGATACACCTTTTTTTTTTTTTTTTTATCTTTGACACAGAGTGTTGCTATGCAGGTCAGGTTGGCCTTGAGCTCACCTTGTACCCCAGGCTGGTCACGAACTTGCAGTGATCCCCCTGCCTCAGCCTCCTGAGTGCTAGGGTTCCAGGTGTGTGCAATCACACCCGGCTGATACACCTGTTTTATACATAAATATTTTACATATATTTTCCCTTTTAAGGCTATTAAGTTTATTATGTAAAAATTAGCTTAATAATATATCAGAAAGGGCTCTATGGATGATGTATTTTGTAGATGATGTTCAAGGCACATAAATCTCAGACTAAGGTACCATGGTGCTAATGAAAAAAAATTCATATATGCCCAAGACCAAAAAGATTCATTACAGCTTATATCCACTAAGAGCAATGGCAAGACTGTCCCCTGGAGCTAGGCCCTGTGAAAGAAAATGAATTAGCTTTCCTTCAGTTATAGTAAAGTTTAAGGGAGCTAAGTTAAGAAACAAATTCTAGAAACAAAAAAAACTATGCAATAATTTTTATTAAAAAAATTAGAATAAGAATCATAAATCTAGCAGGTGAACTATTTCTTTTTGGTTGTTTGAAACAGGGTCTTGCTATGTAGTTGAGGATGGCCTTGAACTCAATATGTTGCCCAGGCTGGCCTTGAACTCGCAGCTGAGGCTCCTGCCTCAGCCTCCCAAGTGCTGGGATTATAGGCACGCACCACCATGTTGAACTACTTAGTCACTATATGCAAAGAAACTATAAAAGTGCTGACAGGGTATTTCTTCTCAAACTGTGAGTAACGGAGAAAGGAATAAGATGTACAGAGAACCAGACTGAATCTCCATGCTGTCATAAAATGAAGACATAAAAGAGAACAGGGAGCTACTTCCACTGCATTCTGAACTCATGTGGGCGAGGAAAGGTGGGAAATCTACTTGCTCTTGGAATCATAGCATTTACTTTCCCTTTATTTGTAAACTGACATTTTCTCTCTCTTGTAGAGTCAGGTGTTTAATGAGCTGCTTACACGTGAGGCACCTCACCTTCTGCAAGATTTGGAAACATATTTAGGGGACAAAGAGTGGTTGACTGGTAACTCTGTGAGTATGATTTATAATTTAAAAAATATCAGCAAATGTATTAAAATAAAAGGGTAACCCAAAAGTTCATCTAAAGAAAATGTTACTCATGGAAAAGGAATAGATCACATGGCAAAGGTGAAAGCTAAAATCCTTTATATTAAAATTTTTGGAATCTGAATTATTTTGTGTAACTATATAAAATGACAAGTTTCAACAAGTTATCCTAAAACCATCATCAAAGTGAACAAATAAGTTTATGTTGAGTACATGCATAAACTGTGGAAAAATATGTATTATATTCTATTAATGAAAAAATATTTCAAGAAATATAATTTTATAAAATAGTAATTTGATTCGACATCTAGAGAAAGTTACTCTCTCAGAAAAGAAAAACAAGAATCGTAAGCCATATTCAGTAATGTCTTTGGCGGTACTAGACCCTGGTGGTAGTGGGTATTGTTTTTCTGATAAGATTATATCTGTATTGTGGGTGCAGAAATAAGAACGCATGTTGCTGTTACTGAGAACTGGGACATTCAGTGTGGAAGAAGGGGGATAGACATGTCAGTCAGGGAGATGAACTAACATCTTAGTTCTATATTTGAACAATAGGTAACAACATAAGCTCAGGATGCTCTTAGAATAAAAAAAATGATTCCTGAGGGAATAACTAACAAACCTGCCCATCCTGAGCACCTCTCATGCCAGGGTCTTTTTTCTAAATACTAAAAGGAACCGGAGTTTCTTAGATAAATGGCTTGTTTTTAATTTTGGGCAGAAGGTATAAAAAATGAGCTGGGAATACCTTATCATATGAGAAGCAAAGAATTTATTTACCAAAGACAACTGGACCTCTCTCAAAGGAGTCGGGAGTGAACCTGAAGGCTTTTTGTTGGCCAAAGGTGGGAAACTTCCAGCTTCCACAACGCTAGTAGCAATGAACAAACCAAGCTGAATAAAAATGGAACTTCATGCAAACCACATCAACCACGTATGCTCCCACACAAAATCGTAAATCAGACCTCCATGGCTTAATTTTAGAAGCAGTTGCACAGCTATTATTCTGAAAATTATTAGAAACAATAAAAAATGCAGAGAGTCTTTTAAGAGGCATTTATTCTGTCTTTCCTACGTGAACGCACACAGGGTAACAAAAGTCACGAGACAAGGTTTCTCTTGATGAAAGCATTTCCGCTAATAAATAAAAGGGAGAAAGGGCTGGAATGAACCATGAGCACTTTCTGGCCCCTGAAGAATTGATGAACCCGTCCTCAGCTTCTCCTACAACGGTCCTCTCCCACCGTACTTACTGAATATTTCACAGGATTTGAACTTTATAACTCAGTCCTTTCTACAGTTTCCCGATGCCTCTCGAGGCGCTTTCCCCTTCCCTGTGTCCTCCAGATGCAAGGACGAGTGCTCCTCACGCGCGCCTCACATGCTCACCTACGAGCCTGACGCGTGGGTTCCCTCTGCACAGAAAACTTCCTCCCCAGACTGCTGCGCCTCTCAGTCCTCTTCTGCCACGTAAGCCTTGCCTTCTGTCTCCTCTGAAAGGCTGCCCTGCGCCTTTCACAGTCCCTGCACTTTTTCCTCATCACTGTTGTCTTGTAAAATAAAAGCCACATTGCAGAAGGAGGTAGTGTCCTACCTTGCTTGCCTATCAATGCCCAACACTGAGATCTGGCCTTGGCATGCAGTAGGTGCTCAGTAAATTATCTGACGTTTGACATGTGAATCCTCCAGTAGCATTCCTTGGCTCTTACACAGTGATCAGGTTCGTAAAACTCTAGCACCCGGCTTCTTCAATTCCAGAGAGCTAGGAATGGTCCACATTGAAGCTTCATTGTGGACTAATATTCACATGGAAGCAAGGTCCCATTCTGCAGCTGACTACTCACACAGGCAAAATGCTTAGGTGTACAAGAGCGGGGTCAGACCATCATCCTGGTCCCAGAGCCAATTCTACCATTCTGCTAATGAGCAAACATCTGTAGATTATTTCTCCTGACTGATTTGGAATAAATATATTTTAGCCAAAAATATTTCACTGGAAAGTGTAGAGCAGTGGTGATGCACTCATGGCACATGTATTGCTATGCAGTAGGCTGTTTGCATCACTGAAAGCTCTTAAAGTTTTGCCACCCTTGGTATAGAATCTCAGGAGTAATTTACATTCCTGAGGCATAATATAAATAATAATGTACTACTCTCAGGAGTAGTGTAATAGCACAACATAAACAACTGACAATATAAGCTCAAAGGTGGGGCATTCTGTAGCATGAGTGTGGACTCTCAATCATTTGGTGACACGAAAGGAGGGTACTGTTCTGAATCAGGAGAGCTAAAGGGCGTCACCAGATGAGATGGATCGTGCTTTGTGCTCCAGCAGATGAGAAAAATATGGGTTAAGTATTAGATTGGATGAAGATGTTGGAGAGTTGGAGATTGGACCAGGTTACAAAATAGCATGTACTGATGGATGTTAGTGAACGTGTTTATCCATCTGCATGGAAAAAGGCCTAGTTTAAGGCACTACTGAGGAAGCTCTGGGTGGTGCCCTTCCTCTGTCATTTCCAAGCTTCTATTATGTACTCATTCTATTTTTGTAGTGACAAAATTTATTGCAAATTTTCATAATTACCTCTTATATTAAGAAGCTAAGTTTAAGCTGAGGATATAGCTCAGTGGCACAGCGCCTGCCTGACAAGCACAAGGTCCTGAGCTGGATTCCCAGCACCAAAAAGCAAAAACAAGCAAACAAAGAAAAACTAAGTTTAATTTTGAAATGATGAAGTTACGCCTTTTATGTTCAAATAGAAAACAGTATTTTTTCTCTTGTTTACCAGGTGACTTGGGCAGATTTCTACTGGGACATCTGTAATACCACACTCCTGGTCTTTAAACCTGACTTGCTGGACAGCCACCCGAGGCTGGGGACTTTGCGGAAGAAAGTCCAAGCCATTCCCCGCATCGCTGCCTGGGTGCAATACAGACCCCAGACCAGACTCTAGCTGATCTGTGCCATCTCTGGCTTTGCTGTTCACAATCATCTCTCCCTCCAAACACGCCAGCTCCATCACCTGCCCCAATAGCCTTCCACACATTCCCCACCCTACCTCCACCAGGACATCCACTATTGCCATATCCTGGATTGAAAAATAGTATTGAGTTTTTATTCTCTTTATTTCTAAACAGTAGTTTCTCACCACTCATGTTTTCTTGTTTTTTGAGACTGTATCTTCCTAGGTAGTACAGACTGCCTTGAACTCACTTTTAGCCCTTGAATTCACACAGATATTCCTTCCTTGTTCACCCAAGTGTTGGGATTACAAGCATCCAAGACCAGGCCTGGAAAATTTCACACCATTTATCACTAAGGAAAAATAGTTTACATGTAGACATACAAACTTGGCAGCTAGCTCTTTAATCCACAGTTCTTTACATTAAGAATGTGCACATGAGAAGTGATGATCTGTGGTGTTGGTGATTTGCACAGACAGCATAGGGTGCTATTGAATTGCTTTCTTGTGACCAATTGATAAATCCATTGGATATGTTGCAAAATAAACATACAGCAAAAGAACAAAAAATGGAGTTAAATTCAAATCAAATGTAAGTGAAGATATAGGAAAAGAGCTGCATGTGTAGGGAATATCACACTGCTAGAGGTGAGCAGGTTCTAGACAGGAACTTACTGCGGGAAATGTGATTGGCAGAAATAAGGAGGCTGGGTACTGGAGGCTGAACCTGAGCCTTTACACTGAGCTATTATTTTTTTAAATTTTGAGACACGGTCTCCCTAAGCTGCTACGTCACTGAGACTAGGCTCAAACTTGTGATCCTCCCAGAGTGCTGAGATTACAGGTGTGCTTCACCATACCCTTCTGGGAAGGTGGCTGTGGACCAAAATGTTTTAAAGGGCTCAAGGAATGATACTGGCAAAAAACCAAACCAAAACAAAACAAAAAACTTCACATGAAAGAACAGAGATCAAGAGAATGAGAAGAGAAGCCACAGACTGGGGGAAAAACTTACAAAATATGTATCTGATAAAGAGCTGTTACTGAAAGTACACAAAAACTGGGAAAACCTAAGCATAAGAAAATAAATTCAGTAAAGGACTTGAATAGATAGATATCTTGCCAGAAAAATGTACTGATGGCAATAAGCATATGAAGATATGGCCAACAGAATTTTATTAGGAAGTTTCAAATTAAGATGAAACCCAAATACCCATTAGAATGTTGAAAAATCCAAAAGATATTGTGTATTGAAAATATGGAGCCACAGGAGCTCTGGTTCATTGCTGATAAGAATGCCCTCTCTGTACACCCCAGGCTGTTCAACCACCCAAGCTGAGGTATGTCCTTGTCACATTTGTAGATAGAGAAAGCAATCAGACCAGTCTGTGCTGGATGTAGACAGTGGGTAGATGTTCATACAGACATCTGGACTAATTCCTAGAATTTTCAGATCCACCTGCCCCTAAAAACCAAACACACTGGGCCTGGCTTCTCGCCGTGGAAGGTGGGGCCCCATGTACTTCCCCACCTGAACATAAACCTCTTAAGTATGTACCTGGCTCCTTCCCCATGACTGTCTCATGGCTGTCTCTGATCCAATCACTGTGGGATGGTGATACCAAGAACTCTGAAGCGAAGCTGTTCTGCAGCTCAGTTTTAAACAGTTCACCACATCCCAAAATATTACCTGACTAAACCTTGTCAAATATCCCAGGCACTGCCCTGGCTTTCTTCTCCAACTCTAGTGTGCCATGTGGAAGGAGTCACTTTCTGTGGGAAATCCCACACTGATTTTGTTTACAGTAGATATGAGCTGTTCTTGGGGTCAGTGCTGGTGTTTCTATCTGTTGTTTCTCACTGAAACTGCCAACCCTCCAGGCTTACCTGCTCTGCCTGAGCGTTGCCTGGCCCCGAGAGGTTGGCTGGGCTGCATTAACTTTCATTGCCCAGTGCTGAGGGGAAACAAAATGCAGAGTGAGCTCAGAGCTGGCTAAGGCCACAGCCAAGGCATCGACTCCATGGGCATGGAGATGGCTATGGTGAACATGGCTGTGGTGAGTCTTTCAGGAAGGGTTTTTCAAGTTGGCTAAGATGATGATCATCCCAGATGACATGCGGAGGCTGCATTCAGGTGGGTTGTGAAGTTCTAGCTAGCTTTTGTCTATGGATTTGAGAGCTTTGCAGTGGTCTAAGACACAGACAGTAGAACAGCTGATTTAGATTAGCTGTAGTGTGGAAGATGTGAAAGCCCAACAAGATGAGAGGTTAATTTTTTTCCCACAGTGTTATGGTTTGTATCTGGATGTCCCCCCAAAGCCTAAGGCAGTCATGGGGTAGGCTTCTAGAGTTTATGATTGATTTATGGTCCAATGTTGGAATTGTGGATGTGAGTGCTACACCAGCCCTGGGGCAAGTAGTTTGCATACAGTGTAAGGGAGGGAAAGAGGCTTGCTCTTCCAGGTGCTGCTCTCCCTGGGGCTCTTGTTGCTTTTGCTGTTTTCATCTGCCATGAATGGTTGCCCTCTGCCATGTGCCACTCTGCCTTGGAACCAGACAAGTATGGACTGAAACCTCTACAAACAGTGAGATAAATAAACCTTTCCTTCCTTCATTTTGGGCATTGGGTATTTTGTCTCAGCAATGAGAAAAAAGTAACCAAGACACACAGAAACTCTTATGTGACTTGAGTGTTTTTCTTTATTTAAAAACTTTGCTAATCAGGGAAAGCAGCACATGTCTCCAGAAACCTGCTACCATAGCAAATATTTAATGTGAACTTCAAGATAGCTAATACTTTTCTGAATCACCTACACCCAATGTACCCTACTGTAACAGTAAAATCTGGGTCTGTGTGTGTCCCAAAGTCAAAGAATGAAGTCAAGGGCAAAGGGAGTAGAGAGGAAGAATGTTTATTAAGAGAAAAGTAGCAACCAGTATTTGGGAGGGGACCTAAGGGTGGGTTGCCTTTCTCCAGGAGTTTATAATAACACAACATGACCTGGGCTCAGACCAGTCTGATTGAAATGAAAGGTAACCTATAGTAGTAAAGCAAGCTTATGGAAACTAGAAATGGGCCTAGGAGGAGTGGAGGATCATAAGAAATGTATGTCTGCAAGTGCTTCTTGGCCTTCATCCTATCCAAATGGTTCGTTCAATGAATAAAATGAGAAAGACAAAAAAAAAAAGACTTTTTCCTGCTAAGTAGGAACAGGAGTTGTCATACTTGGCATCCATCACCATGCTTGTTGCCTTCCTTGTTACAGACCTGATCTTTATTGTCCCTGGTTTTTAATGGTTCTATTGACTTGACCAAGACCTGATCATCTTACCTTGGGGCCATTGCCTCTCTGGCTTTCTGCTGTCTTCCACCTAACTTGTCTGTTTATAACTAGAGGGTATATATTTTGAGATTGTGCATTATATATTTTGAGGTGTGTATTTTCTTTATTTTTTTCCTTATCATGTTTTGTGTTTCACCTTAAGGTAATGTATTTCTCCACAGTAGATATTATAAATGAAGATTTTCCTTCCTTCCTGGCTGCCTGACTTCTTTACTTCCTTCTGGCTTTACCCCTTTCTTTCTATTTGTTTCTTTCTTATGGTACAGAGGACCCTTGAGTTACAAGTGGCCTCACATGCAAACATCTTGCATTACAAGTGAAATTTTAGGTTTAACTGATGACCAAATCTTGAATTATGACCCAAGTGCTGGCCACTTGTGTGGTTGTAAGCAAAGGCTCACAGTGCCAGGAAAATATATGTAAGCATATGTAAACATCAGTCTGAGCCCAAATATGTGTGTTTGTGGATGTGATCTCAGTCTGTACTTTACATCATCACTACAATTACTGGTCTCAAAATGGCCCCCAAAAAGCTAGAAAAGAAACCAAGGAAGAAACGGGAGGTAAAGAAAGCAATCATAATAAAACAGAAGCGGGCTGGGGATTTAGCTCAGCGGCAAAAGCTCCTGCCTGGCAAGCGCAAGGTCGTGAGTTCGGTTCCCGGTACCGGAGAAAAACCAAAAAAAAAAAATAAATAAATAAAACAGAAGCAGGAAATTGTGGAGAAATATGAAATGCTATTCCCATGACCAACATATAATAATATGTTCAGCATGTTGAAACCCACCATCTTGATAATCATACAGACAAAAGATCTGTATAAGAAAGCTAATGTTGCTAAAGGTGTTGCTCAAGTTAGTAAGTCAGGATCAGTGGTGTAGAGAAGGTAGAAAAGTTATGATTAGTGTGGATAAACCAAAGGGAAATGGCAGGTTATAGCCTATCCGAGTCTATTATTTGTGCAAAAGCTAGGGCTATAAGTGCAAATCACAGAAAAGATAATCCAACTATGACTGTCAATGATGAAACGTTTCATGCCAGTAAAGGCTGGTTTGACAATTTTAAAGTGAGGACTGGTGTTCACAGGGTAAGCAGGCATGGTGAAACAGCTGGTGCTGATAGAAGGGCTGCTGAAAACTCTATACCTCTTGGAAATGACAAAGAGAAATGGCTTTTGCTCTCGTCAAGTTTTCTATGTGATGAACCTGGCCTTTTCTGGAAGAAAATACCCAGGAGAACATACATTACCCAGGGAGATAAAATGCCAAGCCACAAGCCTAGGTAGGACAGGCTAACCTTCCTGCTATGTGCCAATGTAAGTGATGACCTCAAGATAAAGTCTGACTTAGTTGATCACTCTGAGACCTCTAGAGGGTCCAGAAAAGAAAGGC